CCCGGCCTTAGAAGAGCTTTTTCTTGGGCTCCCGCTGTCTCTGGTGCGAACACTGAGATGCATAGACTACTTTACCTGCTATGTTTTTTATTCTTGGATACATTGGATACATTTGATTTTTTTTCACGCAAGTCCACATATACTTTTATAGGAGCGTGACTTGTAATAAAGGGTTAATTTTTAAAAAAGAAAAAAAAAAGCACGGAGCTTCAAGAAGCAACCAGAAGAAGGCCTGCGGCTGCTTTATCCTGTTCAGAGGCCTCTTCACAAGTTCATTACCACTGTTCAGTCTTGGCACACAGACACCCATGTGCACCGGGGTGTACTTTCTACTCTGATCGCTGGGCCTGTGGTTGAGATAAGTCACCAGCTACGGAAGGTTTCTGACATAGAAGAGCTTGCCCTTCCAGAGCATCTTTCTGATCTTCCACCATTTTCAAGGTGTTTAATAGGAATAATAATAAAGTCTTCGAATGCGGTCGGGTCATTTTTGGATGAGTTAAAGGCGTGTGTGGCTTCTGACGATATTCAAGGCATTGTGTGCCTCACAGCTGCTGTGCATATTATTCTGGTTATTAATGAAGGAAAACATAAAAGCTCAAAAGTGAAAGAGGTTGCAGCCACTGTTCACAGAAAACTAAAGATGCTCATGGAAATTTCTTTGGAAGAGGATAGCATTGAAATATTTCTCTATGAATCGTCATCAAGAACTCTGGGAGAACTTTTGAGTTCATAACCAAGCCAACATCTCCAGACTTGTAAAAATAGGGAAAAGGGACTCAACATGAAATGCCTGTGTACTTTCCTATTGTTTTTATTGTCAATAACCCATATAATAGGGAAAGGGTAGGATTGTTTTGTGGGGATGTGGGAGGGTGTAGGTTATGGAGTAGAGAACTCAAAGCTTCTTCCATTTTTGCCCAGTGCCTGTGTAAATAACATATTTAATATAAAGGACTCCAGGTGTGAATGGTGTAGAAATCCATGATTCGAAGAAAAGGAAGATACTTTTCTAGCAAACCTGGTTGTTTTTAAAATGACTTTTATATATGTAATATTGCTTGCAAACCATGAGTAATAAAACAATGACAACAAATAACATGGAAAAAAAGCCATCTCTACTAAAAAATATTAAAATTATCCTGGTGTGGTGGCACACACCTGTAATCTCAGTTACTGGGGAGGTCAAGGCGGGAGAATCGCTTGAACCTGGGAGGCGAAGATTGCAATGAGCCGAGATGGCGCCACTGCACTCCAGCCTGGGCAGCAGAGCAAGACTCCATCTCAAAAAAAGAATAAAAAATAACAAAAGGGCTGGTTTCTGCTTAACCCTTAAGGAATAAAGCCTTACTGCGTTTGGCAAAGGGGTTTAACAAGGCATATTTGATCTCCTATCTCATCATGGCCAGAACTAAGTTTTTAAGATTTTCTTTGGGGTCCCCTTTGCCAAGAAGGGGCGATTCAGTTAGTTGGCAGTCTTAGGATTTTATTTTTATTTCTCAAGGTTAATGACTTTATAGTAATTGATAAATCAGCCACAGAGCACATAAAGTAAACAAATTATATGATCACATGTTGAAAGAGAAAAAAACCTTTTATCTCAAAAATTAATAGTCCAATTCTGAATTTACCATTCTATGTGTTACTGACTATGGATTCTCGAGCTTTCATGTAACTGTAACTGACACGAGTCTGTGAAGGCTTTCCAGGTAATGCTTTATTGCTTATGTCCCAGCACAGGGGAGCCAGCTCCTTGTGGGCAGGTCTTCATGGTGTTTCAAGAAGGGCAACATGAATAATTGCGAGGTATTTTAATAATACATAATAACTGTGTGAGGCAGAGCTGCAGAGTGCGCAGGCGCAGTGAGAAATCATGTTAGTAAGCGCATTGCAGGGTGAGGCTGGAGGTCAGGATCGTCATTCTTCTAGTCTTCTGTGCATGTGAGTGGTGGTGCAAACTCCTTTAGGGGAGATTTATGATGGGCTGGCTGCTGCTTACCTTAGCTTTCCCACATGGCTTGCAAGGTTTTGTGGTCAGCGAGAATGGCGCCAGCAGGGGTGGTGCAAAGTCTGATGGTTAGCAGGTGTGTATGGAAAAGTATGTTATGGGGTGGTGAGGGCTGGGTCCCATCCTTACTCTGTCTCATATGGAAAGAAGAAAGATTAAAAGTCAAATATATTGAAAAAATATTTTCAAAGAGCAATTCTTGTTTGAAAAAGAATACATTGAAAAATATGTTCTTTCTGATTCTTTTATTGGGGATTTTGAGGCCACTTTTCTGATGTGATCCCATGTCCCAGGCCCCTAGTTCCTCTGCCAATGAAGTTGACAATATTTCCTGAGCAGAATTGGGATTCCTTACGGAGTATGATCAGCTGATCCTCACATTGTCTCACCCAAATAACAGGAATGGACTAAAAAAAAATACCCTGTATTCATTTTCAAGGCTGACATAACAAAGGACCACTAATTAGCTGGTTTGCAATAACAGAAATGTGTTCTCTTAGAGATTTGAGGCCAGATGTCACAAATGAAAGAAACAGCAAAGACAAGCTCCATCTGAAACTCACAGGAGAGAATCCCTCCTTGCCTCTGAAACCCACCGGGGAGAATCCTTTGCCTCCCCCAGCATGTTTGTCAGAAGTCCTGGCACCCCCTGGCGTGTGGATGCAGCACTCCAGCGCTGCCTCTGTGGTCACGTGGTCCTCCACTCCCTGTGTGTCCCTGACTTCTCCCTTTATTTTTATTTTTTGAGAAGGAGTCTTACTCTGTCACCCAGGATAGAGTGCAGTGGTGTGGTCTCGGCTCACTGCAACCTCTGCCTCTTGGGTTCAAGTGATTCTCCTGCCTCAGCCTCCCAAGTAGCTGGGACTACAGGCAAGCACCACCACACCCAGCTAGTTTTTGAATTTTTAGTAGAGAGGTTTCACTATGTTGGCCAGGCTGGTCTTGAACTCCTGAACTCATGATCTGCCCGACTTGGCCTCCTAAAGTGCTGGGATTAGAGGTGTGAGTCACCGCATCTGGCCTCTTCTTCCTTTATCATAAGAACAACATATATATTGGGTTAGGACCCACCCTACTGACCTCATCTTAACTTTGTTACTTTTGCAAAGTCTCTATTTCTGAGTAATGTCACATTCACGGATATTAGGGGTTAGGACTCCAACATATTTTGGGGAGACACCATTTAACCCAGGGGCATGTTCTACTGCCCACATTGCTAGTGTCTGCTTCCCTCGGTATTCCTTTTCCCTCTAGCCTCTCCCAAAAACAGTGCAGAAGATGGAATACAGAATTTTTTTCTCTGGTCTGTGAAGTTTCATCCCTCAAACAGCCCTTCTCAGAGTTGCTGCCATTAGAGTCATGCCATTTACACTTTGTAAGTTCACATTCATCCTCTGTTTACATAGGTCACACACCAAGTAACATCCTCTCCATTTACAATAGGGCGCATTCTGAGTAAATGACCCTGTGGCTTCATTCTGTTCATTTACATAGAATACTTGACAAGTAACCAATGGGAAACCTCTAAAGAATTGAAACCCAAAAAAATTCTTACGGAATTTGGGACTCTAACAAGACTTGGACTCTAACAAGAGCAACATAACAATTCCTTGCTTAGCCAAAGGCTCCACCCCACCATGCAGGCACTGTGGCCCTGGAGGCTGCTTTGTGCTGGAAATGGCCTTTGGGAAAATCTACACTGCCTCTGCTCCTCAACCACTGCCGTGGAGAACCCTGCCTGCTGCTCCCCAGCAGGCACTAGCTCTGGCTTGGGAAATGCACAGTTCTGTGGGATCCATTTTCTAGCCAAAGTGGGAGCAGCTAACTACTAACATTCAGTTTTCAATCTAGAATTGCCTACTGAGCTTTTAAAAATGCGGTTTCTAGACCCATCCCAGACCTTCCTCTTCAGAATCTCTCTGGTATATGTATTTCTCAAAAGCTCCATCAGTGATTCATATGTGCAGCAAATGCCCCATCCTTTCTAAAATGGGAGCCACACAGGAGCCAGCTATCCTTCCACCTGCTCTTAAGATTGCCCAGTATCATGGACTCCTCCCTGGGGAAATATGGCCCAAATTACTTTCCCATACGTCTAGCCCTCCCAGCCTGTGGCACCGGACACCTGCCAGAGCCCCAGCCAAGCTACATGCCAGCAGTCTTAAAGGTATCAGTTCCCCTAAATGGAGACTCCTTCAGTGTCTGTGGGATTGAGGGCATTCGGGCCTTGCCTCTCAGTGAATGGCGGGCATGTTACTGCAGAGCAACCACACGAGCAATGTTACAGCTTAGCTTGTTTGACTCCACCAAATCTCATGATGAAATCTGACCCCAACATTGGAAGTGTAACCTGACGGGAGGTGCTTGGGTCATGGGGGCAGATCCATCTCACATGGCTTGGTGCCCTCCTCATAGTAATGAGCTCTCACTGTCAGTTCCTGTTGAGAACAGCCTGACACCTTCCCCCCATCTCGCCTCCTCTCTCGCCATGTGATCTCTACACTTACCAGCTCCTCCTTGTCTTCTGCCATAAGTGGAAGCAGCCTGAGGCTTTCACCAGATGCCCAATTTTGAACTTTTACATACATCAGAATCA